CATCTTTGGTGAGTTAAACTTAAATTTATCCTATCCCTTTATATATTAAGTAAATAGCTATAGAATCATCTTTGAAAAATACAGAAATTAAATTTTTATAAATAAGATTTCAACAGTGTTTATAGCATATTTATAAACTGTAGATTAAACAAATTTGTAGTATTATATAAATTTGTAGTATTACAAAAAGTTATTGTAAGTTACAAATTTGTTAAAATGATAAACGATTGAAAAGGAAAATGTTTACTATTGTAATTGCTTAATGAGTGTCCCGTTCTGTTGAAGAAAGACGAATGTTAAGTAACTAACTTTTACATATATATTGGTAGATTTGCTCTATAAACGAATGTAAGTTTAATGTTCTATTGAAAATAAAACGACATATGTAAATTTTACTGAAGTATCAATCAAATCGTTATCTAAAGGCGTTTGGTTTCTGATAACGATTTGAAATTTGTTTAATAATTTTCTGCTTAACAACACTTATCTTTGCAATCAGTTTCCAATGTCTTGACATTACATTTTCAGCAATGTTTCTTAGAAATACGAATATTTCCAAGATTTGACTTGAGGTTTTCTGAGATTACTGATTTTGCTCCGTAATAATAAGTTTTTGAATTTTATTGTGTATCTGAATAATAAACCTATCATTAATATATGTTCGTAATAAATAATCTCAAATTTTGTTTATTTTGAATGTAGAGAACATGTCAATTGTTTCGTTTGTTGAAGCAATTTTTAATATTATTTTATTTATTAAAATCTTTTAAACCTAGAATAGCATTTTAAAATATTATAAAAAATATACGACATACGCCGATCAAATAGTCAGTGTAAGCATCAAAAATTGCTGCAAAAATTGAGGAAAAAATTTTTGTCTTTAGGCTGACTAATTAATCTGCGAATCTCATTTTATTCAAAAATTTTGAAATATTACTGTGATTTTAAGAGATTTTATTAAACAAAAAACTAATTAGTTTGTTACATTCTATACCATGTATCACGATCGGAGACTGAAGGAAACGTTTTGCTGCTAAATACATTTAATTTGTTATTTGACAATTAGCATGAAACAAAAATTAAATTTAGAATTTTAGAACAACTTGTCATGAAAATGGTATGACAATTTATTATAGATATTTACGTATCGTAATAAGTTTAAATTAGGAAATTGTTTATGTTTAAGCTGTAACCTACATATTCTAGAGGAGGATAAGCATTTTCGTTTGCATAAAAAATGCATTTTTATTGTTACTCGCTTATTCACACCAACTAAATAAAATAAGTATATTTATTTATTTAGCCCTTATTTAGTTTCGAGATTTAGTTAGGTGACGTAATTGTATCCTGTATGGTAAAGTCATGCATAAGTTGGAAACTGTAGGAGAATGTCTTTGCGAACGTAGACCTTAATTCCCTATTGAATGCGAAGCTCACTCAAACGCAGGGCAGATATTTTGAACATATTATGATATGAAGGGCTTGATGTAACAATTTAAACGATATTTAAGTAATGTTTTTATATCTCATTGTTTTATCTTCTCGAGCATTAAACTTGTTAAGCATGTCTGTTTTCACTTCGAACATACATTAACGTAATTTTTTAAGAAAACAAATGACGTAATATTTCAGAATATTTATATATTTATATCAGAATATTTTAGTAATTATAATATTATGTCATTTGTTTACCTGAAAAAATCTTGTCGAAATATGTTCGAAAAAAATATCGAGAGAACGTATTAAAGTAAAGGTATTAGTAAAATTTATTTGGTTCTCATTTAGATTCATACAATCTTTTGTGAATTCCAATATTATATATAATAGTTTATATAGGAATTATGAAATTGTTGTTTGTAAGAACGTCCGGACCCGAGTTAACTCTGGCAGGCTCCATAGCGTTACAGAAAACGCGGTCCTTTCGACCCCCAAATTTTTTTTTGGATTTTTGGAATGTTTTTGTCTCCAAATTTTTTCAAAAATTTTTACCCGCGCAAAAAATTTTATCGCGATTTTAATCAACCTTTTATGACGCGTGATTAACGCTTAATTGTTTTTTAATGAGATTTTTTTTTATCAAATTTTATTAATCGTTCTAAAGTTGTAGTGCACGTATTTGACTTCGATAAAGCTATTTAAAGCTACTTTCTGATGTCAAAAACGACCTCCAATAGTTTTTTTTAATTTTTTTAATTAATATATTTTATTATATATAAGTCTAAATCGGGGGTCGGAAATCGCAATATAAATTTTAATTTTTTAAAAATATACGGCCAGCTAGTATTCGCCCTAATTTAAACCCTTGTCCTCCCGAGACGTTTATGAGAATGTCCCAGGAAATCCAACACCAAATGTTCTCAAGGTCATCCAGCTGTGTAAACAATGACTCATCAGTGTCAAATTTCGCAGAAAGGAGAGAGAATGGAAAATAAAGTTTGAAGCTTTTTCTTCAAATTAACGCATTTCTTTCGTCTTTTTTTTTCAGTTTTTTAAGTATTTTTATGTTTAATTAAAAATTCCTTTAAAAACTTCGTATGGCAAGTGATTAATTTTAATTTTTCAAGTTGTATGAAAAGTTCGTCCAAATAGATAAATTGTGTTCTGCTAATCTACCGTTAGAAACAAAACTGAAGGTAATTCAAATAAATTTCAAGTTTTTTCAATTGGTCTGTTAGTTTAATGTGTTAAAATGCTTTAATTTCTTTAAAAAGATGCTAAATTTTATGAAAAGATACGGTAAAACTCCATTTGGAGTAAGCATCGGCGGATTCTTTTATGTTAAAAAGAACTTCTTCATTCGAGTAAGTTCATTAAATACATTCTGTTATACTATATTTATGTTGTAGAAATATGAATTATAACTGAATAAACACAAATCAATTCGTATTCTTAAAAATCGTATTAAATACAAAAATCTCTTTCTGTATATACAATGATTTTTCTAATATTCTATTACAGGTTCTGAGTGCCATATATTCAGCGCTTTCTGTCTTTGTAGAACTGTTAGTAGCCAAGAGGCCACCTTCTTGTAAAATTAAGATTGAAGATCTAATACAATAAACTGTCTTGCCTCATTGAATGACCGACTCACAGACGTAAATGTTTGAAGATAAACAGACTTTTTACAGAAAAATGGAGTATCGCGTTCGAAAAAGTACGTAGACACCCTCTACGTACTTTTTCTAACGCGATACTCCAAAAATGGAGTATCGCGTTAGAAACTTGGAGTTGTAAGAAAAATCCGAAATATAAAAAATGTCAAATATTCTAATTTTTATAAAACGTAAAATTTGATTCTCTCTTCTCTAGTAGGATGTTAAGTCATCTGCCTGTATTATATTCTATGTTATTATTTTTGTATTAGTTTTCTTTGCACAATTTTATATATAAACTGCATCTTAATTCGTTTCGTCATAAATTAATTCTTACTGTAGTTTAAATTATTTATAGGTTACTTAATTACTTAGGCTGTTTTTTCTTTCCAAGTTCCGACGGTCCATAAAACAAAGACGAGTGTAAATAAAATTAAGAACCATACTGGACGAAATTTTGGCTAAAGCAGTTCCTGGTTATTGCTGACAATTATTTAGAAGCTCAGATGGTCTTGGTGGCAAATATATCAACTTGACTCTGAGGACCAGAATTCGTGTCCAAATCGTGAACCTAAAAAAATGTTTCGTGGGCAGTTTCCTTGTGTTTTTACCATTCCTAACGCCCGTCAGCCTCAGTTTTAAGCTTAAGAAAAATGCAAGTTCGTTTAGATCTTAATGTACTCAGGGCAGAGAGTAACAAAACATTATTTAAATTAAGTAAATTTAAATAATGTTTGGTTATTTGGTTGAAAATAATATAAACTTTTTGTCGTCTAAATTAAGTAAGTACATGGAAAATAATAACTTAAGAGTAAATGAAAATAAAACAAATTATATTTGTTTATCAAATAAAAACAAAAAAGTGAATTTAGAAGATATACAAGTAAGAATAAATAATGAACGTATTCAAAGAGTTAATACTGTAAAATATTTAGGTATCGAAATTGATGATAAGTTACGATGGAACAATCATATAAATAATTTAACACTGTCTTTATCTAGATATATTGGAATACTGAAAAGAATAATGAGTTTTTTAAATTGTGAGACTGTTTTGCGCTTGTATCACGCTTGCATGGAACCTAAACTTCGATATGGTATTTCCGTATGGGGTACAGCTTCTTCTTTTGTATTGAATAGGTTGCAAGTTATACAAAATAACTTTATAAGAGCATTATATAAGTTGCCTTATGATTCCTCTGTCACTTCTTTTTATAACCAGATCAAAATTGATAAAATAAAAGCTTTATATAAAAAACAAGTTCTTTTGGAAGGTTTTAAAATAATAAAGTTGAGCAAGAAAAATTCTTATATAAGCCAAGAATTAAATAAATACTTACGGACAATTTAAACGGGCTGTAAAAATATTGAGATGTGATTAGTTGAGTGTATATTTTTTTGTTTTTGTTTTTTTTTGTTTTTTATGTATTTCTCTTCTCTGTTTTTTTGTTGTTTTGTTGATTGTTTACTTTGTAAATGTTTGTATCATTAGTTTTTCTTTTGACCCTTGAAAAAGGCCAATGGCCATAGGGTCGTATGATTAAATATATAAAATATATAAATATTTAAATTAAGTAAATCGTAGAAAAATAAGGAAAATTAAAATGGTTCTCTCTCATAAAATTAGAAATATTTCATGTTTTATCATGATTATTCTTCTTTGATTAAAAAATCCTATATTAAAAAGAAAATTGAAAGAGTTCCTAAACCACCTTTTTCAACAAGCTGTAGAAATGTTAAATTAAATTTAACTTGCTAAAATTTTGTATTACAAAAAATTACTAAAATTCATCAGTAAATGAAAAAAAAATATCATAAAATTTGTGAATTTTAAATATTATTTGGTAATAAAAACAAACTTGACTATTTAATTTTATAAAGTAACATTTATTATAAAAATTTGTACGACATCGAAGTTCCATTTACTTCATAATTATAACATTAAAATTTTGATTTTAAAAATTTATATTAAAATTCTTAATAAAACAAACAATTTTAGCCTTGTAGAAAGGTCATTCGTACTGAAAACAACATATAACAATATCAAGAATTTTAACTAAACTGGTTCTAAAATGAAGAATTATCAATAGTTTCAAATTTGATGCATTTAAACCTTCAAGATCTTCACAGACTTCCTACAAATAAATAATTTATTTTAAAATAATATATTTTTTCTAAATTTTATTAAAAACTATACAATTAATTAAAAATGCAGAAAATTATAAAAAAAAAAATCAAAATTAAAGTAAATACTTTTGACATGATGATGATTCGATTTTTCTAGATAAAAATTTAAAAATTTTGATGTATTTAAAGGCTCATATTAAACATGCATTCATCCTCATCCTTTGTGAAATGGTTAGAATTTTCGTTTAAATCTACAATAAAATCAAACAGGAAACAAAAAAATCAATACAATTCAAAATAATTTTACGAGAATTGAAAAGAAAAAAAAACTTCGCATAATTACATAATGATTGATCGAAAATTAATTCTTCTGAATCGTAACAAAGGTTTAATATTGTAGTTTTTTGTAGACAATCCATGACTAAATGTAATTTGTAATAAAGTTCATTGACTAGCATGACATCCACTGGAGTAAAATTCGGCTTAATTAATTTTGTGTGTTCGGTTTTCCATAAACGTTNATCGTAACAAAGGTTTAATATTGTAGTTTTTTGTAGACAATCCATGACTAAATGTAATTTGTAATAAAGTTCATTGACTAGCATGACATCCACTGGAGTAAAATTCGGCTTAATTAATTTTGTGTGTTCGGTTTTCCATAAAAGTTCGATGTCTTTATCTTCGCTTCCTATGAATAATAGTAATAAAATTGTATCTGCAATTACACTAAATAAAATATTTACCAAAAGTGATGGATTGAGAAAGTGTGCGACAGTTCAGTGCGGCTTTGACACAATGAGCTTGCCTGGTAAAACTGCTTTAATACAGCTGAATAAGAAAGACAATGAAAATAGCATGCTACGGTACAGTGACGTCAAACCAATAGAATTATGTTTTTGATAACGTGATTTTTATCCTTTTTTTTTACTAATGTTTATGCTTTAACTACTGATATTTTGAATTTTTAAAGCAATTTTCGCGTTCCTTGGCCGAAATTCTGTCAGAAATATTTAATGAAAAATGATCAATTTTTTGCAAGTTCCCAAAATTCAAGTGTTTCAGTATAAAAAGATAAAAAAGTGGAAAAGCTAATCATGCTGATAAGGAATACTTTTTTAATTGAGTAAATTACGGTTAAAAACGTAATTTTATAGGCACAAGTTATTAAACCGCATAAGAGGTAAACTGACAGTCTGCAATTTCTACATTGTCCTGTTACCTATGGTGATATGACTGGTGTATAATTGTCGGTCATAAATTGTAGTTATTTCAATATTTCTAACAATGTAGAGAAACTAAAAGCTAATCATTATTCAAAAAATCACCTACACTTTATATTTGAAAAGAGTATCTTGGTTCAGAATAACAATTTTAAAAAATCCCACAACGTGTTTCTCAACTCTCCAGGCAGCATTTGGTGGCACAATCTGTTATCATATTATAAAAATGGCAAAAAGCTTAATTCTGAACGTATGGATGGGTTTTATAAAAAAAAAAAAACTGTGGATGCTAATAACGAGTAAAATCATCATTAAGTTCAACCCTACTCGAGATACACAAGACCCCCCATTATGTTTCCACTACCTCGACTTTTAATTACCAAAACTTAACAGCATCAATCTCTCTATTAAATAACCACCCCTTGCATAATTTTAGAAATTTTTGACAAAAAGCACAAGAATTATTAAGTTTCAAAACAGGGTGAACAAAATCGTCCTCCCAAATACTAACATTCACACATACGAAGAAAGCCTTAGAATTTCTTTTGTATTTCTCGAAGTTTCACGGTCCCGAGTCGAAAAAATATAAAAACCTTGGCGGTCATTTTTTGACCGATCGCCATACTTTCTCATATACAACAGAGCCGAGATAGTAAAAAAAGTACTCACCTGCTTTGAGGAAAACACACAACTGTAAGCGATTCAACGATTTATTTATTTTCGACGCTTTCATTAATTTTAAAACAGGCACGACATAGTTGATGATGGAAGAATAAAATGTTTCGATCACGTCTTCGTTTGACTGAGAAGAAAATCCCAATTTAGGAAATTTAAACTTCTTTATCTCTCGTACATAATAACGCCCAAAATCCATGAATATCAGGTAACACAGACATGGTTTAATACATTTTAACTATATTTAAAAAAAAAACAGAAAATAAAGTTTAAAATTAATAATTAAAATGCTATTCTCGAAAACAAATATATAAAAATTTACCATTTGATTATATGTGAGATTTTTAACAACAGAAATTCGTAGAACTTTCTCCAATTTTTCTGATAACAAGTAATTCATTATCCATCGTAACTTTTCAAAATCGTTTTCATATTCGTTGTTTAATAACTTCTACATAATAGATGCAAAAGTATTTGAATAGAATATAAAAATTTATTAATATTTTTTTAATGTGGATTTATTTACAGAACCATAAAAATTTAATATTTTAATTAAAAAAAACGTATTACCTTAACAGCTTGCGTTTTTAACTCAATTGATTTGTAAGGTTTTTTCGAAACTTCATCAGATGTTTTGGTTATCCTCAAAATCTTTTGTCCGTGTGCAGCTTCTATAGATTTGAAAATTTTAAAATATGGAAAGTTTTCAATAACAACATCTTATAAAAAGTATTTCTAAACAGTTGAATATTTTATTATTGAAAACTTACCATGAGTTTTAACATCCTGCTTAACATTTGCATCATTATGATCATCATCGACATCCTTTCTTTCATTACAGACTTCTTGATCATCGCAGTCTAAATAGGAATATAAAATAACTTCCGATTGTTCGTCCTTAATATCCATTGTTAAAACCAATTTATTCCCTAATTCATAAAAAAAAGAATTTTAAATTTTAGAATAGTTTTGTTATATTGGACTGTTGAGTTCAGTTATTTTGCATGTTTCTTGCTTATTAATCGTAATAAGCAAGAGATTCTAGAACTGTAGACAGCACTGATTATAAAAAGGTTACGTAAAGTATATGTTTTCAGTTTGATTTAATAATCTTCTAATGGTGTCTCAATGTTCTTCAGAACCAATAATTTATTGAAAGTGTAAATAAATTATTGGATATCAGTTGCATCTTATACACAGAAGTAAGCTTCGCATGTACATAGTTAGGGTAGATGCGAGTCAAGGAGGAGAGAGAAGTATCTTGGAGGACGATAGCATTGATCATTGTAAGCCAAAAATTATGTAAACATGGGTATTATTCTCAGTCATTTAGGAAATTGAGATACAACTGTATGAAAGTTGATCACTCCTCCTGACTCACCCTGTATAATTCGTAACTGTAGGTGTAGCGTTATACATTGTAACGCGAATATACGGCAGAACAATAATGACAAAATTTAGTTAAAATTAGAACAAGCCTGAAATGAATATAAGTTTTAAATCACTGTTAGCCAATTTACAATGGGATGTAATCGATTTTTTCACGAGTCTAAAGTACCGATAATCTATCATCATATTTTTTTATCTTTTTATGAAAAATTTTTTACTCTATTTTTATAAAACTACGTTGCAAAACAATTATACAGTGAAAACTGCTTAGGCGACCACTTGCATTCGACGAGCACCTGTCAAAACGGGCAAAAATTTCTGGCACGGAATAGTTTATCCATAGAGTCTTCGTATAAGCTACCCATATTAAACGACCACCTGTGTAACGCGACCGCGGGCATCGATTTTTGGTCCACCTGTAACAAGCGAAAACTTTCGGGAATGTATCTGGTCTTAATTAACTATTGTAAGAACCCATCTCAACAATGTTTTCCCCTCCTAATGTAATTAATTAGTCTAAACTCTCGTTCGAACCCATCCCGGGCACTTCACCCACCCTTGAAATTAGTTGCAGGTGTTAATAAATTACTCTAGCAACAAAGGAAATTCATTTCAGCATTTCAGTTTGTTGAAAAATGTTCAAAAATGAAAGAATTGCAAAGTACTGTCGTTAGAAGATCGTATTAAAGTTATCACAACAGCAATTAGCGGCGAAGTTTAACTATGGGAAAACGAATATATCCAAGTAATTTTCGCAGGAAAAATATTCAAAAAACAATAAACAGCATTAATGCAAAAATCAGTTTTACTTCCTTTTTCGATTCCACGATTGTAATGAAATCGTATGAGAAAAGAATAATAAAATCGTTTTATTATTTATTAATAATTTTTCTTCCTGTACTTAATTAATTAAGAAAATATTAAAATATTAAAACAATACTGTATTTTTAAAGTTAAAATAAGATTAAACTAACGAAAACCAAAAGAAAGGGATGGAGAGATAGGTTTTACTGTATTTACTTATTTATTGCTGAGTAATTAAGTTACCTCTACTTGGTAAAGATACAAGAAATAAATTTAACACTAGCATTTATCGTTTTCTATAAAAATTCAAGAACGAGCTGCGTAACTCTTCCGGCAAAAACACTAAAAATTGTTCGTGGTGCCATCAGTTATAAAAAGCTTTTAAAAGTAATTTATATTAAGTATAAAACGTCAAAAATATTTAATTTTGAAGGTAGAGATGAGTTTTATATAAAAAAAAATTATAAAATGTCAATAACGAGTGAAAACTGTATTTTAAATACCATTCCAGATACAACGCATGATCCCTCCATCTCTCATCCCCTTTAACTTTAACCCCCAAAATTTACTAATATCGAGGCCTCTAATATACAATCCTCCCTGCAAAATTAAAAAAAAAACGAGTTATTAAGCTTCGACATTGCGATCAAGATCACACCTCCCAACTAGAGGATTTGATCCCGGGATCTCGAAAATCGGGATCCCGGGATCCCGACCACTTTTCAGTCCCAAAATTTTCGGGATTAAGTTTTCCTAATCCCGGGATTTTCGGGATTGACATCATTTTAAAAAAATTGCAAAATAGACTGCATGAAGCGAAACGTTCAGTGCCAGTGCTTTTAACAGAATTGCTTGCCTATCATTTTAATATAAAATACAAGAAATTTTATTCCAAGCAAGCAGCAGAAATTAACCAAGCGGGCTTGCGATGCTTGCTTGGAATAAAACTTCTTGTATTTTCAACTAAAATGATAGGCAAGCAGTTCTCACTGGGTTACTTGGTAATATACTTCATTTTTGTATTTTTGAATTTTCGCGGGCGCCAATCGATTTTCTGGCGCAGTCGAGAGCACTACTCAGTGCGTTTTACCTGTCAATGTGTCAGCCATCTTGTTTTGCCAGTGTGGTTAATATAGACCCGACGCCTCTCGCTTAGGGGGGTCGACCTTAGGTGAAAAGGTTACGACCCCCGCCTTGCCCGTGATCTGTCAGGATGATGCGAGAAAGTCTTTTTACGTTTGGGAGTAGTGGTTTGCTGGATGCTGAGAGACTCACACAGAGACCGAATTTACAAAATTAACGTGTTTATTTTTAGAAAGGCATGCTTACAATGATCGAAACAATCGGGATTGTAGCCTTTACTCCTACAATCCCGATCTGTGTCGACCGGACTGTTTTCTTCCAACCTCCCCGTGTCCTCGAAGCTATAACTAGAACGGGCTTATAAGTATTTACTAACGATTCCTCCAACTTCCATCAAACCTAAACGCGTTTTCTCAGCAGCTGCATATATGTGCAACAAATTGAGAAGCAGACTTGGTGATGAGACACAGGATGCGTTGTTATTTCTCAGATCATATTTTCGCAATTCAAATTAGAATGTTCCTATTAGATTAGTTTTCTTTATATTTAAGAAAAATGTGACTGATTAATATTATTTTTAAATACTTTTTGCTAAGAAACTTACTTTACTACCTACTTACTAGGTTGTTATATGAAAGTAGTCTATTTAGTCGATGTTAAGAGAGATTTTTGTTAATTTTCAACGTTTATTTGCATAGTTTGTTACATAAAGGTTTTTTCAATTTATGTGAGTTTAAAGAGATCTCAGTGATGCTTAAAAAAGAATAAATTTAACATGAAAATAGTGATTTTAAGTCTGGTTAGTCTGACTGTAAGTCTGATTAGTTAGAGTGATTAAATTAACTAGGTATATACTGTAAAATACGTTGATTTTTGTCTAAATTTTGATTTTTGATTTCTGTAAGGTTTTCTTATTTTTTATTAACCCTCAATACCGAAATAATCCCGGGATCCCGGGATTGAATAAGTATAATCCCGAAATCCCGGGATTAGAAATAAGGACCGGGATCGAATTCCCTACTCCCAACAAATTATTATTTACGTATGTATATACGTAAAAAAGTCCAGCAGCGAGATGCCTAACTTTTCCGGCAACATTTAAAACTCCATATTTTTACAGATATGACCAATATTTTTCTCATTTCATGTGACAATCGACTTGTTACCTACCTGATTTACATGATCAATTTTAAATTGCACCATAACTCAAAAAGTTTAAAAAACTTAAAGGTAATACTAGTTTAGTTGAACTTATATGTAAATCAAGAAAATATAATTATAATTGGAATAAAATAAAATGAAGATAATTATAGATTTGTACTTACTAGTTACCTCTTCAGATCAACTAATGTGGTGACAAAAATTTGTATCGCCTCTTCCACGAAACAAATTTTTATTCTTTGTACTTCAAACTTCCTTTTTTAATTTTTTCTAAATTCTGAATTTCCTTTTTTTCATTTTTTCTAAATTCTAAATTTTCTTTTTTTAAATTTTTTCTAAATTCTAAATTTCTAAATAAAGATGATTTCACTTCCACGTTAAACCAATGCAATTCTTAAAAAAACTTAATAATCTAATTACATTTCGAAACACAAATATATGTGATATATTCCTATGTTTTTCTCCTATATTGACCCCACGGACGTGTGTTTTTTTTTATATGTAGATGTGTGGTCGCTTATGTTTAATATATTTTTTCCCTTTTGTATTTTATCTATTGCAGGTTTTATGTTAATGTAGGGAAGCAAATCTTTTGTCATACGGTATTTCCTAATTGGTATACAAAATAAATAATTATTTTTCGACTTTTCAAAACCGTAGATTATTTTCAATTTTCTTTGAATAAAAAAAGATTACTTTTGGTAAAAAATAAATTGATCATAAGACAGAGTTAAAGTTCATTTTTAAAGATTTACGTAACTGTAAATAACAAGAGAAAGTTATATTATGTCATAGTCCATTATGTTAAAACTTTCACCTTTGTACTTTTAGATTGGTGCAAACCAAAAAATTGCATCATAAATTTTAAATTTTTATCACTGAATTATTTTAAGCTATTTCATCTATTGTGGTAATATTGATATAACTTTTAATACTATAATTTCGATTTTCACTTGGGCTTGTAAGAACACTTAAGCAGCACTAATGTATGTTACTGAATAAGGACAATTTATAATTAAATGTTAAAAGATATGCTAATATACTTCAATATAAATATAAAAATCTATACTTACCAATAAAATAAACTATTCAGAAACTAATTTGATAAACTTCCAAGCCTTTCCATAATCAGTTTTACTCATTTCATAAAAGCCATTTTCGCACAATTCTAAAACTATTTTAAATACATAAAAAAAATTAATATTTTTAACTCAAAGTTATTATTTAAAAATTTATTAATTTATTCTTTAATTATATTATTTATATTTAACATTGATTTGTTATTAGTTTACTACGTAATTAATTTTTTTTTATTATGTAGGAAAGCTTTAATTCCTTATGTAAATGATAAAAGTGATTTTTTAAAAGATTTTTCATTAAATATTTTCAAAGATTATTACTCATTTTATAATAAAATATTAATATTTGATGATAAATTTATAAATAAAATAGTATATTCATTTAAGTTATTGAGACAATCAACATGAAAATTAGTGAAAAGTAATTGTATGAAATTCAATTCTAAATTGATATGAGCATTATTTATATTAAAAGTATAAAATATTTTTTTAAGGTATTTATTCTGGAGGAATGTGAGTAATAACATGAGTGTATCGAGTGTATCAATTGCCACGAACTGGTTCGGTGAAAAGCCTTATAAATATACGAGCATCTTGTATTGCAATCCGCCATCTTATATTTTACTTTGAGATACTCAACTTGTGTTAGTATTGACTAAACAGGTTATTTGATTAAGCTGCAATTTGAAAAAAATTATAGAGCTATAAATTCCCATCGCCGCCTGTCTGTCCTCCGTTGTTCGTCCGTCTGCCCTTCCTTAATCTCGAGAATGGAGTTAGATATATAAATTTTAAGACCGAGTATGAAAACCTTACAGGCATGAAGCCGATTAATGATACATGAACTTCCAATGCAAGCGGAAAGTCATGTAATTTTAAACATTTTCCCCTGAAAGCAGTTAATAGATGACTGGCACGACTTTCTTGCTAACAGAAAAAGTATAATGTACAAGGGTAAGCCACTACTAATTTGAGGTAGTGAACATATCTTATATTTTAAATGAAATAAATTAAAAATACAATTAAAAATTGCAGCTCGGCATTGTGATGATTTCATAATAAATAATTGTTCGTTTATATTTTAGTTTTTAAAAATATGGTAGATTGTTCGCACCAAAATACCACCTTTCAAAACAGTTCTCAATGTTCACTTACGTCAAAGAATTTTTTTTCTATGACAATCGCTCGTCATTTCTGTATATAAAATGAAATTGTCGGTTACGAAGCTTCTAGAATGTTCCACACCAATTATTTTGTGGACAGTCAATAAACCTAGCAGGGAGCAGGAGAGGATATACATTGACTCGTGGTTGAGAGTGTGATTCTTTCTTATTCTCCGTGCCATTACGGGAAGAATGCAACGATGTGACTGTGCAAGGGTAGAATTACGAAAGTTAACTGACTCTGTTTCACAACCAGGAGAAGACAGCGATTATACGACACGAAAATTTCTGTACCGTAATAGTGCTTCCTCTCCCTGTATTTGCGATTGTAAAATTTCATATAAGAAAATTCGCGGATTAGACTAATACATAATTGAAAAGATAAAATGTCTGATTGTAACAAGAACCTAAAGCGTTGTAATATTTGAATTCACTCTGAATATTGAGTGTATCGGATTTAATGATAACTGAATTTCGTGTGGAGAAAATAAAATCTTACATTACACTATTTAACTGTTTGACGTAATATTAGAATGGCATACAACGGATGTTTATGTAGACAAGTACAATATTAATAATGACAGTTAAAGAATGAAATAATAAGAATAAGAGAAAAGACATAGCAGGCACTGGCTAATCCGGTGTGATCGCTAATGCACTTCCGTTTCCACGAAAGTGCTAGTCATGCTCCAAATTCTCTTTTCCTGTTTCAATTCTGCACGGTATTGCATTTGAGTGTATGGTTATATTTTCCTGTGTGTCTGCAAAAACGGAATCAGTATCGAAGAACGACAGATCACATCATTAGTTCCCTTAGGTAGGTTTTAAGCTTTCATTCTCTCAGTAATCGGTACTATCGCTAATCTGACACCTCTCCATTTAATGAATGACTGGATTAGTGGATCTACTTTTAACATAGATTGAAATGCAGTTTAACCAGTCTATCTCAAAAATTTTTATCTCGAAATTTACTTTTCCCCTGCATTTTCAGTCTAAATTCAATGTATTTTCCATGTTTATCTGAAATAGTTTTCTCTCAAATCTCTATATCTCAAATTATCAAATTATGGACTGAAGTGTTAATTACAAATTGAAATGTCATCGACTATATTTAATAGCATAAATTGTAGTTGAAAAACATCTTTTGCAATACATTATACAAGGGAGGGAGTGCAAACAAATAAATGTTTGGTGTTCATTATTATTATTTTTTTTATTATCTTTTATTAGTTTGTATTCCTTATTTGTGATTTAATTTGTACATAAAAATAAATGTTTTTTCTTCCTATTTTCTCTCTGTATGTTTTTTTCCATAATGACCTACTTTTGCACCCCCTTATATTGTAGTTGCAAGTAACGATGTTTTTTTTGTAATTGGTTACAAGTTTGGTTTGCATCTTATTGATTGAAGAAAGTCGGACATCAGAATGTATTGACAAACTATTTCTATTAAGGTATGACAAAAATATTTTATTCATACCTAATACAGGTATGTACTGTATTTGCTATTGTATTAAAAAATACCGTACTTCCAATCTAAACAATTACTATTTATTGTGTGTAAACCTCTATATTTCGAATTTTTATCTCGTTCACATAAGATTTGTAACGCGCAACCAATGTTATATAAAGTAAAGTAATTACTATTTGTTTCAGGTATTCCAACATAATTTATAAACTACTTAACAATGGTAGTTGGTCGGAAGTTCGCGCCTGATCTCCTGGAGTTCTGTGTTTTTATCACGTGTCTGATACCTAACTAGGGTTAAAGTAAAATTCCAACTCTTTCAGCAGGGTTTTATTTGTCCCTAATTCCCTAATATCTTAATTATTTAACTACTTGTTAAGTAGAAATAAGTTAAAACCGGTTACTTTGTACTTGAATATTTGTAGTCTTGGGAAAGAAGTGGAAAGACAAATATTTATGACAACGCATAATTTAAGAAAAATAAATTCTAGAGCTTTTTTGTACTCGTGCATCTCATTCATTAAATTTAGTTGTAAATGATGCTGCCAAAGACACAGTTAAGTTTTTAACATAGTACAAGAATTGTACAGGTTTTTACCTACATCACCTTATAGATGGGACATACTATTGATAAATCGTAATATCACTAGTTTAACATTAAAATCTGTAAGTAATAAAAGATGGGAGAGCAGAATAAAAGCAGAATAAATATATCAAATATTTTAATGGATTTTATAACTCCTCTTAACTATACAGAACTATCATAAAAACATACCAGTAAACTTCTATCGGTTGGGTTGTTATAAATCTACTCGCGATTCACATAATGGAGCGAGGGCGGCCAAATATCTAGCAGGCAGGCGGCTAACAGCCCGGAACCGGTCCTGTATAAAATCATTGGAAGCGTTATACTACGTTCGCACACAATCCACGACTCACTTCGATCTCGATTTACCTACAATCTGGATTGTGACTGTCGCTAGTCGAACGTCGTGCTGTTCGCGCAGGTAGTCCGCTGGAGAAGAACCTGGCTATTACACGCGATCATAAAACTGACGTAACTACGCGGTAAGTCACAAACACAACAAACAAAATGGAAGTTTTGGTTAGAAATAAATACTTTTCCTTGCCATACATCTAATAATAGACAGATGTCGTCGTCTCTCCAGATGTCTTTTTTATTTCTCTGTCGATAGCCCGACACGTGTTCCGCAGCCATCTTGTATTTTCTCGAGCGCATGGGATTGTGGGATCTCTCTTATAACTGGATCTGGTTTCGAGAACTCTCTCCATTCGATCGCGATTGAACCTCGTTTCAGTCGAGATTGAAACGGTCGAGAGCGTTCGCACCACAGAACAGTCTCCGACCTTAGTCACAATCTAGATCGAAATACTCGGTGCGAACGGGGTATTATACGATATTTTGGTGTGTAGCATCCACCAGCTAAACCACGTGAAGTTGATGCTCTGTAAGGCGCATGAACGAATGCGTATAATCTGGCTGCTTGGAAGCTGTCCCGTATTCGACAATACAGCGCTTCCAATCCGCCACTTATATTGCAATACAATAGCAATTTTATCGTTCTTTTTCACATGTAGTATAGAAATTTGCAATAAGATACGTAATGCGGTTATAATAAAATATTAATTTCAATTAATTCATAGTACATTCAAATATGAAAATAATCACTCAATATGTATTTATAGTTTAGAAGATACAAGGGAAACGGCGCTTCCACCGATTCCAAGGACAGCACGCCATTCAATATGGCCGCCATCAAAATGGCCGCCGTGCGTGTAACACATATCAATCTATTTCCTTCTTCGTCTAATGTGTTCCTTAAATGAGAGAATTAACTTTCGCTGCATTCTATATTCTGTAGCATGGCGTTAAGTGACTTTCTTTCCCACCCTGTAGAACTCAGCAATACATGTAATTGTGTGTGACAATTTTTAATCTGAACACTTTTCAATATTAGAAGTTATAAGAATGTGTAAAAAGATTAGAATTTAATTAAGAACCATTCACAGAAGATTTTAATCTCTATTTATTTGAAACAGAAATCATTTAGGCCTACAAAACAATTAAAAAATTAAAAATGTAAATTTGAAAATAAAAAAAATTTTTCAGAATAACAATATATTAATTAATAAACATTTTAAAGTGTAATTTTATAAAGGAAAAACAAATATTTAATTATAAGTTATTATAAATGTGAAATTATTATATATGCAAATATGCAAACATGCAAATTAAAATAATCTAATTTGGATTAATTTAAAATTTCTGATAAATAACATTTGTATTATTAAAATACATTAATGAAAAATTTAAATACGGAAAATCTAATTTAAAAAAAAAAAAAAAAAATTTTTATGAATGTGTAATGCATTAGAAAAATTCATCGTCATCAGCGTGTTGGTTTCGTGAGAATTTGTTGCAATTCTCTTTTGGTTACACTCGTCAGGGATTGTTGAGCTCTCAATAGTAAGTTCATTCTTTAATTTTTTAATACACAAACATTTCACGGAAGATTTTAATTTGTGTAATTTAATAAGTGCTATTGAAATGTCCATATATAAAATTCACAAAATACAAATGAAACTATTTATATAATAATATAGCATTTGAAACGCTTGTAAAATGGATTCCAAATCTCTGAACGCAGCAAATAAAACAGAAGAAAACTCGGAAAAACGTAGAAAAATGGATCAACTATTCGACTTTTCGCTGGTTTATCCGAAACTTATTGATATTCCAGAATTAACATATTCTGTTAAAGATCGAATAAAACGCTACGAAAGTTTCAAAACAGAAGATAAACCTCTAACTGTTTTGAGAAGAACTCTTTCCGAGAAAGAGGGTGAGTACATTATGCCTTAATATATTATAGATACTTAATAATTTTCTATTGCCTTTAAGTGTTACATTTATAAAAACTTAAAGGTATGAGGTTATCCTTGTGAATTTCTTGAATTGTGATTTCCTAATTTTAGAATTTAAATTTTCATGGGAACTTAGTTTATTTTCCAACTTTTATAATTATGAAACTTGCCTATTATGTCTTCTTGTTTTGTTCCATATTTTCGAATATTTAAATGGAATAAAATGGCACTGATTACCTAATAAAAGGGGGGACTACTTTCGGTAGAAATTCAGCTGTGGATGAGAAAGTTGAGCTGTAGATCACTCCTGGAGGATTAAAACAAATTAAAGAAACCGGTGGTCTACATGTTACCTTTCGCGAGATATAGATCCCCGAAATCCTGCAAAATTGAGGTAAAATTTAAACGTAAATAAATTCAGAACAATTTCTCCAAACAACGCTAAAAGCAGTGTTTTCCATTTTATTAGACTACTAAAGGTTCGTAAAACACGAGAAACGCCATTACACAACTATTACCATGTCCTGGATTCATATCCTGGATTGGTACCAGTATATTTCATTCAAACCTCGATTTAGTATTACAATTTCTTGGCTCTAATATTGTCCCTAAATTGAATGTGAACTTGAACTAAAGTCTCAATAAGAACTATATGTAAGTTTACTTGGGAATCGAAGTCACTTAATAATAATTTGCCTAAGAATGGTATTTGCAATACAAAATCCTATGTTAGTAATTTAAATACACAAGGATTTTATATTTAATCTTTTACGGAGGAGGAAACATTTCGTTCATTGGAGTTTTACAGAATAGTCCTTTCTGTATTAGACAGAAGGCTATATTAAAGTGATATTCTTCGTAATTTTAAGTAGCAGTGGTTCAGAAAAAATATCGAAAATACAAAATTTCATACAATCGTAAATTAGGAGTTAATTTTTTTTTCAATGGAAAAAAATTTAGAATAAATAAACGCATTTATACTTATTTATGCAAGTTTATACTTGACGCTTTACATCTACAAATAGACAACATTAATAAATGCGATTTTGTTTTTTTCTTCTTGTATTTTTTTGTACATAAAACTTAAATTCGTTTTGCATCATATTTCCACATTCCCGCTGGTAACATGAAATCATTTTCTTAAATAAAAACAGATAAAGATCTGAATATATTTATCAATGCAGATAGTAAATTTTTCTAGAAATGTAACCTCGCGAAGGATGGCGCCTAGTTCCATAACTCCTTTTCTTATTTATGTAGAGATACAGCTGTAGAAGAAAAAAATAATACCAGAAAGAAAGAAATATTGGAAAAATTATTTTGTTCCTTCCTAGCCTTTGTCTTTTTTTACTATTGTTTATAGCTAGATATACATGTTCTGCCCTGAACATTTTTTTTTCATACTAATTTTTAAGAATGGGTTATCTTGAAATTTGACACATTTTCTTCTCTGACATGATTTAATAAATGTTAGGCCCTAGAAAAATGGGAGTCTATTCAGTTAAAAATTTGTATAATCAATAGTTGTCTTATTTATTTTTAAATGAATGCGTACGTTTGTATGTAAAAAAATCATTTTACGGTTTTCTACATCTTGTTTCATATCGATCACTATCAATGAAACTAAACTATTCAACAAATGTCCTCTAGAAATTGAAATGTATATTTTGTAATTAAAATATACTCTGTGTTAATAAAATGATTCCATCCACTTAATTTTAACTTTGATATTTTTTTATGTTAAATATTACATTTATTAAATTCGAGACAAACATAATACATATTAAAGTTTTCTACCACATTTTTTTTCCAGATAAAACTTCTAATCCGGTCGATAAAAAGAATACAGCAATATATTCCGATAAATCGAAATCTACTTCAAGAAATGTTGCTCTAGATAGTATCTGTAAACAACGAACTGAAACTGACTCTTCACAAATAAGTAAAAGCAGCCATATAAAGCAAGCCAGTGCAATTTCAAGTCATTTTGCAGCTGAATATAAACGAAAAACAGATGTTTTCCCTATACAAAGAGTGAAATCTGAATCTCCGATTAAGAGTAAGCAAATGAAAGAAATTGCTACATCTTCACCTGTTCCTCAAACTGAACACGAACCGGAATCAACTGAAAGCAAAACAGATAAACGAAGCATTCCTACAGTTCGGCATACAATCCTAAGTAAGGAGAGAGCTAAATTAAAAGCCGTTAACAGTGGGATGAGTGATAAAGATGAAAAGACAATTAGTACAAAACAAGTAAATGGAACATCAGAAGATACAGCTTCTGCTTCAAGCAAAAGTATAGAATCTTCTGTAAGCAGTCCAAGTCCATCTGAATCAAGTTTTAGAAATGTTGCTGTTAGGACTCCAATACCAACAGTTTTCAAACTGCCAAGATGTCGTATTGCAAAACGAAGTAAATCTGAAGAAAAGCAAAGTACTTCACAGAAGGAATTTGACACAAAAAGTATTAGTGATGCGATTGTAAATTCACTAACTTCCGATCAGTCAGTAGATTCTAGTAAAACGATAAGAATAAAAAATACAGTAAAAGTTACTGGCACTTCAAGAAGCTATGGAGCGGAATCATCATCTGTAAAAAGCCCAAGAAATGTAGTGGATGAATTAAAAATGGTTGTCAGAAAAACTGCAGAAGAAAGAAAACTTAGAACAGAAACTGCTGCTGAAGGTTTGGATGAAAATATTCATATTACTGAACCAGACAAAAGTCCTGTCTGTATTGTCTCTAAGAAAAAAGAAATATATAAATCTTTGCAAAATATGGATGCTTCCAGAATGGAAAGTAGCAAAGAAACTAGTGTCATATATCCTGAAGAAACAAAACCTACAATAGAAATGACCGACAGCGCTTCTAAAACTAGCCTTCAACAACTTGTCATGCTTCCTACTCTTGAAATGCCAAAAGTTGTACACGAACTGCGAAAAGCAATTTCTATCATTAATCAGAATGAAGATATGAATAAAGACATCTACAATTCTCCTAATCCTACAAGAGATGAGGTTGAAGATGTTTCCATCACTAATCCAAATAAACTGGCTGGTAATATTACCAGTTTTCCAGAAAATAGTTGCAAATCAAAATTTACCGTCAATTCACCTAAAGATGAATCCAAGATAACTGGTGATAGTACTTGTACTAAAAGTGATGAGCGCGAGGAAGTTGCTACTACTGCTGCCACCCCAAGGACAGCTAAAAAAGCACAGGGAGTTTCTGCCACTCTGATGATTACCAAGATAGCACGGGGAGTAACTGTATCCCAAGCGTCAGCTGAGATAGCTCGGGTAGTAGCCAAATCCCCGGTGACTGCAGAGAAAGCAAAGGGAGTAGCCAAATCCCCTGTAACTGCAGAGGAAGCACGAGGAGTAGCCAAATCCCCTGCAACTGCAGAGAAAGCACAGGAAGTAGCCAAATCCCCGGCAACTGCCAAGATAGCACAGGGAGTAGCCAAATCCCCGACAACTGCCAAGATAGCACGAGGAGTAGCCATATCCCCGGTTACTGCTGAGATACCACAAGGAGTAGCCAAATCCCCGGTGACTGCTAAGATAGCACAGGGAGTAGCCAAATCCCCGGTGACTGCCAAGATAGCACGAGGAGTAGCCATATCCCCGGTGACTGCAGAGAAAGCACAGGGAGTAGCCAAATCCCCGGCAACTGCAGAGATAGCACGAGGAGTAGCCAAATCCCCAACGACTGCAGAGATAGCACGAGAAATAGCCATATATCCGACAACTGTTCAGATAGCACGGGAGACACTCTCCAAGCTTGATTCAAGTGCAAAAGTGACTGTAAAGAATTGTACCACGCCTCGTAAATATAGAAAAAATAAAGCTCCTCCTCCTCCCCCTGACACTCAAGGTGAATATGTAGTAATTTCTCTGGAAGCAGTCCAGGGTGCTGAAGCTGGAAGTGCCACTGCATATGAAGAATATTCCAGAAAAATTGAGTTTTCTGAAATGTCTGAAAAGGGTTCTCCTCATTCTTATCTAAGTGAAAGAGACTACAGACGAATACCTCTAAGCCCTTCAAGTGACCAAGAACTTGCAATACTTGAAAAGCAGCTTGCTAGGGAACTTATAGAAGTAGAAGACCTTACAGTAAGGCTTGCTAGGGAACTTCCAGAAGTAGAAGAAATTGAAGTAAGTGCAGAAACGGGTGCTGTTCGAAAAGATACATTCAATCCGAAAAAACCCTCAAGATTCAGATCCAGACATCTCCTCTCTCAATCTTTAGAGGTCAGTCTCGCATTTCTTTTTTTTCACTACTGTATTTGTGCAAAATTTGATTTTTAATATGATATTTTCTTGTTTTAAAATAAAAAACTAGTAAAACGTCTTGTGTTTTTATTATTTATTCAGATGTTTGGTATAAGTTTATCTACAGGAGATGCATTAGAAAAGTTTAAATGGATGCTAAACGCTATAATGGTGACGAATATGGAGGAAATTTTATCCAATCCCTTCTTACGGAGCTTGCAATTCCGACAAATAGTAAAGTTTCTCTTGTGAGATATTTATTATTACATACAAACTGTTTATTGATGATATATTTTTTTTAAAGGAAATTCTAGCAAGTGAAAACTTATGTAAAGTGGCATTAATCGATTTTCCTCGTTATTACAATAGAAGGAAAGAATTTAATTTTCCAATATTTAAAATTAAATTCGAAGATGAAGGTCTGGCTCAGTTTTTAAGGGCTGTAAGGATTTGTTTACTGCCCAGGATCTATATCGTAAAACTACAAACGTATGGACTTTCCATTATGCAGTTGAAGGCCGCCATTTTGTTGCGAGGAAGTAAGTAATGTTTACATAACGTCAATTTCCACATTGCATTCGTAATTGATAAAATAATGCATTTTTCTAGAAGCAGCAGATCGTGACGTAAATATGATGAAATTGAGGGATAACATAGAAATAAGTGGTGTTCCAGAAGAGATGCGTGATTCAGTAAAGGAGGATATAAACAAAATTAACGAAAGCCTCAAAATTGTTATGGAATTTATTGAAAGTTCAAATGTTTTGTGTTATTGCTATGATACCAATTCACTTTTGCATGATTGCATTTCAGATGTTTTTACAGGTAAGCTATTCAAAAAATTCTGAAAGCTAGATTTTGGTTCTGTTTATCGTTGCAATGCTTTTACAATGGCCACATAATTTGAATAATTTAGTCTTGGATTCCTTTAATTTTTGAATTTAAAGTAATGAAATAAAATATTAATCATATAAACTTAGCAAAAGTTAGCTTGATGAAACAAGAATGTGTCACTTCATAATTGCATTTAATTTTTCTTGTTTCATCATGCTATGAACAAATATAGGATATTGTGTTATTTTTTTCATTTTTCTTTCTAGGAAAACCGATTCACGTATGATCTTGGTGTCTTCGTAAGCTCTTCATTTTGGATGAAAGCAACATTTTTAATTTTCTTTTACATTTCAGCGTTTGTTTAAAATTTTTAATGTGAATTTTATTGTTTTTTTTTTGGGTCAATTTACACGTTTTGTACACTTATTTATTTGAATTATTAGAATTTTTACGAAAACGAATTTTATTTCGTTCAAATTACTAAAGTTAAATTTTTTTTCTTGTAGACGATGTTTTAAAACAGTTGTACTGCTGTATTTTTATCAAATGTTTAATAAAGTTTGCACCAATATTTTGCATTCTGTCTATTTTCCTTTTCGTATATTAATTAATTAAGTTACAGAATATTTTACATTTTGCCAAAATAATAAGCTGACCAACTTTCACTGTTTTTATCCCGTGAATGACCTTAACTATTATCTTATTGTATTCGAATTTTGTCGTTCATTTCATACCACCGTACTCTGGGCAAATCGTCCTATTTGTGAGAAAAGGCCTAAGAACCAGGTATGAACTACTGTATTTACTCTTGTAAGTGGTATCATAATTCTATCGAAATTTTTATAAAATCAAATTTTTCTAAATGGAACGTAGTTTATATTCTTCCCAGGACGAGCCTTGAATATATGTAGCCTACTGTACAAAGTTTCGTAAAAATCTGTTCAGCCGTTTTTACGTAACTCGAACATACTGATGCGAATTCAATTGTAGAGTGATAGGGCGTATCCGGAGTGCTTATGGGACTGCAGCAGCACCTCGTTGACATACCATAAAAATCAATTTTGTTTTTTAAATAAAGTAGACGTGATATAAAGGATAGCCATGATTTCGTTAATGCTTTTAAATGTGCACGAGAATAGAGCAAATTCCCGAAGACAATTAGAATCGCTATACAAAACAAGTGAAAATGTGATACAGCTATAGTACAATATTTACAATAGTGTGTACAAAGATCTGAAACATACACAATGTATAAAAGTTATTATTCCACATAGTACACAACTCCTCATTGGGTGAAGAAAAGGTTGAGTTTCTTATCAGTTTTTGGTACCTAGCAATTACATGCTGGAGGTGGAATTAAGTCTCTTTGTCATTTATGAAGTCTTTGCCTCCTCAACGTCACTGCAGTCGTTTGTATTCCGGCATTACACAATGAAACAAGTAATGGTCGGCTCAACGTACAACCACACAGTAGTGCATTATTTATTTTTGTCGGATATAAACTACACAGACAGCTAACAAACCGTTTATCGTTTGTAAGGAATTAGTTGTTGTGTTTTGGTGAGAAACGATTATAGTTAGTCGCCTCGCGAATGTTATGCAGAAACTGATATGTGATATTATGCGTGCAGTGGTCCCAATCTCGCTGCCATTCTTGCATAAATTCTTTCCATAAAAGTCTCTTCAGAGCGTTGTCACTCACGTTACTATAAGCAGGGCAGCACTCTCCCAACTGCTTATAGGAAGAATTTCACATCTGCCAGTGCGTCTGCTCGTTCGTTGCTAATCATTTTTTGATGACCACGACTCATGCAATGTAAAATGTGTCGTCCGAATTACAAATAAAATTGTGAATCTCGGTAGCAAGAAAGTGTAGCGTTTAGGTTTTTAGGAGTGAGATAGCAAATTTGCTGTCGGTAATGATTCTGATCTGGGTACAATGGCGATTCTCAACGCACATTGAAATGGCCAGATTTTTTGCGAATAACTCTGCCTGAAAGTCGAAGCATTGTTTCCCTAACAGAACTGCTTATGCTATGATCCAGTGTCACGCTGATAGACAACAAAGGAACAACGTACTGTACATTGTCGTTCACCTTTGAACCATCAGTATAGGCCTACATGACGATATACATAAAGAAGTACAGTAGGTGGTTGATCGCATTCACTGAGAAATACGACTCAAATGGCGTATATATCTTTTCTCAACTGCTCATTTCGCAACAAATAGTTTTCGTTTTAAAGTAATTTGAAGTCCGTTACGTCAGCAGATCACTCTTTTATGACAATAAGTAGTCTCTCGAAAATGAAGCGAAACTGAAACAGCGCATCAAGCCCAAATTCAATGACTTTAATGTAAAGCACTTTCGAACCTCGTCGGCGTTAACACAGATAAAAATCGCCTACTGAGCACCAGATTCCGTAATAGAAAAAATAAATTTTGTGTTCTTGGATGAACTTATAAGTATACAGAAGTTTGATGTTTGTGAAGAGTTTTTGTTTACACAAGCTTAATGAAATTTGGAAAATAATATACTGTAAATATTTTTGTTTCCTTAAATGACGGGTTAACATACGAATGTTAAACTGTCAGTAGTCTAGTATTTTTAAAATAAAATAAACATCAAATTAATAAATAATAATAGTTACATAAAATAAAAAATAAATAAACTTAAATATATTTTATAAATTTACTGACGCATAAATTTATTTACGAACGGATGTCGTAATAGTCTAGAGTGAACAATTGATGTTCCGTAAGGAGTATTTTCTTTCACTTTTTGGAGATTTCAGTTTTTCTGATAATTCTACAATCCACTTCCTTTTCTGAACACAAAAATATCTCATTTCCTTATAATAAGTCTACTGTTATTCAAACTTTCAAGTCAGCCTATGAGACAATTTAATTCAATAGCTTTATTGAATCAAATCTCTAATCTCAACTTTACAAGAAGGTGGTTTCTTTGCTATTAAAAGTTCTGTCAACACAGACAGCGATGAATATATGACACTCAGAAACTGTAAAACAGTATGTACAAAATTATTATATATTACTATTTATTATTTAAAATACATTTGTAAACTATACACGCAGTTATATATAATATTTTTACAACATTAATAAAGTCTAATAGAATATATTGAACGAACTTACTCGAATGAAGTAGTTTTTTTTTAACATAAAAGAATCCGCCGACGTTTATTACAAATGGAGTTATACCGTATCTTTTCATAAAGTTCAGCATCTTTTAAAGGAAAAAATGTTTTAATAATAAATTTATAGACCGATAGAAATGAATTTAAATGTATTTCGATTACCTTTATTTTGGTTTCTAACGGTAAATCAGCAGAACACAATTTATGGATATCAATGAATTTTCCGTATAGCTTGACAAATTAAAATAATTATCATAAACAAAAATTGTGAAATTGGTATATAAACTCTTATAAAATACATTGTAAATGATCAATCAGTTTCAATATTATATTATATTACACTTATATTAAGAATATGCTTAATATACTCACTAAATTTAAATACAGCAATAACAAAATAAGCAAATACATCTTATTTGTCTTTACACGATATTTTACATAATTCTGATTTAACACAAATTATGAAGAGAAACTTTATTTTCATTCTACGCGATTGGGTCGATTGTGCGAAATAAAAACAAATGTTAAAATGTATTCGCAGCTTGCTTCAATTATTTCACATTTAGGTTTTGTATTTAATTTCAGTTAGAGTATGAATTTCTGCGACTGTCCATTATTATATTTATTAGTTTCATTATTTTAACACGTAGATCTATTCTTCCGAAATTTATTTACAGGAGAATTAGGATATATAAGTTAATATCAGAGAACAAATAAATAATGTGGGTTTTTAAAATGTGAATAAAAATGCTTATTTTTTGTTTGAAATAATTTAATCAAAATTACATTCATATTTAATTGTACTTTCTTAATATGAAAACAGTTTGAAACAGTTTGAACATTTTTAGCATTAACAAGTAAAACGGCGAAGCCATTTTTGGGACGAGATCATGTCTGGGAGAGCGAGAGCAACGAATGCGCAAATCTCGCCCTCGCTCTTGTTTATAGAAATAGTCTCAGCATTTCGTATTTTCTTTTGACTCGGTTCACGGTTCCCTGACTACCTACAAGTCTGTTGTTTTATGTGCGCATGATTTGGGCACCAAATACTCTGTACCAAATTTCAATTCTTTACATGTACTCCTTCATATCTCTAATGTGGCAACAGTTGACAGCAGCGCGATTTTAGAGACAAGACATGGTCTCGTCAAAACTTGTGTTTCTTTCTCTTTTATAGATGTGTTATTTGTAAATGTTTTCTACGCATATGATTACCCAAAGAGTTTTAAAAATCTGGCAATTCGACAGTAATAAGCCAACAGAATAGGAAGGATGAGATGACAGTTCCCATCCCAATTGCATTGTTTTGTTTCTTGTAATTTTTGCTATGTGTGGTCGAGCGTTCTCTTGTATAATTAAATACACTTCGACGTTTTGCCAAAGATGATTGTTTTAGCCTTAATTTGTCATATAATCTTTGTACCTGCTCACTGTACAATTCTACTCTGAAAATTTGATCAACCTTTAAGTACTCGTGATGAACAATACGCTTCGAAGCCCACCAAACAAAGCCTTTTTCGTGAATAAAATAATTTTAAACAGAAAATGCCAGCATTTTTATTCACATTTTAAAAATTCGATATTATTCATTTGGTTATCTGATATATCCGACCAAGATGCTCTTCAATAAAATAAAAAAAACAACAATGTATTACGAAGAAAATAGCAAGTAACCATCGCGTCATTGCTATGATATCATATGTCATTTACTATGATACACTAGTCAACCGTGGGAGACTAGGCCGCGGTTTTGCGCCTCGCCAGTAACTTCAAGCCCATTTCAATCTAGAGATGTCAAGTTTCAAAACTCGCTAAAAAGTTTTCTTTTCCTTTGCGGAACTATATACGACGGGTAGGCGCAGTTGCCACAGTCGAGGTGGGTAACCGTATTTTCTTTGAATTTTAAGAAAAGGCTTTTGCGCTAGTTTTTTTTTTTAAGATTTGTGGATTGTTTTCTTTTATAATTTATTCAAAAAATATAAGTATATGTAGTTGAAGTTATTTGAACTTTTAAAATCTAAATTTAAATTCTAATTTTTATATTGAAAATGTAATTTTCAACGATACATAAAAAACGAAATATTGAAGAGGATAGAAGAAAATTTCAAGAAAAGCGTAAAGTTTTTGACATTTTGAAGATTTCAAATTCTTCTGATAAGACTACTTCGAAAACAATACTTCCTTTTTCTGTAATAAATGTGCTTATATTCAAAGATTTACGTCTGTGAGTCAGTCATCAAATGAGACAATCCGGCTTTATTGAATTAGATCTTCAATCTTAATTTTACAAGAAGGTGGTTTTTTGGCAACTAAAAGTTCCACGAAGAGAGACAACGCTGAATATACGGCACTCATAAACTGTAACAAAATATTTAAAAGCTATTGTAAATATTCAAAGTATGGC